ACGGAAATGGTCAACCTAAAGTATCTTTACGAATTCGATAGAGTCTATCAGTGCGCGACCTGGGGCTATCCCACCGAGGAGGCCTATTACAGAGACGCGTCCAGCTCGGACTCGCTGCTGGCCATACGGATCCCGTTCCTCGCGATCAACGCCGTAGACGACCCCATTGCTACTAACTTGAGTATCCCGTACGCCGAGGCATCGACGAATCCGTACACCGTGCTCTGCACTACATCACTAGGGGGTCACCTCGGCTGGTTCGAGATTGGAGGAGGAAGATGGCACGGGAAACCTGTAAGACTTTTGATTATTGACTAAGTTGAATTGGCCACTAACATCCCTTATAGGTGTGCAACTTCCTAAACCATATGGCGTTTGAAGTTGATCACGATAGTATCACCCACGAGATAAACGGAAAGCGAACCTCAGGAAATCCCGACGCCTGGACCAACTTCGACCCTATGCGACGTAAAATGCATGTGAATTTGAATCAATAAGTACAATATAGATAGATCTGAGCATATGGCATATAACGAGCAGCTAGAATTTGTATAAAGTGTAGAATCGGGTGTCCTTAGAAAGGCGTCAATGTTTCTAGATGGTGAAGGCGACCTAGGTACTTAGAGAAAGATCGTCTTGAAGATTACCCACTGGCGCTATTCAGACCCAGCTTGATGCGCCAGTTAATAAACTCGTCTGGGAGAATGTTTCCATGCCCGACTTCTTCAACTTTGAACACTTCAATAACTCCCGAATTTGCTTGTCTCTTTATCCTCCACACGCCTTCGTCATTGACGGTGTTTCTTAACCCTGCTATGATGTTAGTAGATGTGTAGATGGCGACACAACTTAGATGTATCTTACATTCCAAGAAGCCACTTGCAAAATTGATGCACGTGTTTGCGTTCCAGCTTCTTACGCCCCGTTTAGAAGCCGTTTCTGGTATTTGAGCTGTCGGGATTTCTTCAAGCTTCGTGAGGATACCCTGTTGTGAGCGGAAGCCAACGATGATCTTGGGTACACCGAGCAAGAAGGATTGGATCCAGAACTTCATGAGTTTGCGTTCAAAGTTCTGCATGGTCCTATCGTCACGAATCTCAATGCTGGTCTTGAGCTCGATCCAATTGATCGGTGCTCCTTTTTGCTCTGGCTTAGAGTCCCAAACTGGATACTGATGTGAGACTGCGGTATTCTTGATTTGGTGCGTCAGAGACCTACTTGCGTCGACTTCCCCTCCTAAGCATAGAGTTGTTTTGCCAATCCCCGTACGAACTACAGAGCAGTACTGGGCTTTATTACTGACAATTTCCTTGTCCCTATTCTCGATAAAGTCTCGGGTGACCTCACCCCAAGGACGTGGCAGACAGGACAACGTCTCGAATTTGTAACCTAAAATTTGGTCAGCTACAAAATTCTATGACTTGAATTTGCCGTCGGTACCCCAAAACGTCATGACATCCGGTGACATCTGGCCTCGTCGTGGTTTTTGTCGACGTTTTTGCTCTAGTTTTTGCTCCTGCTTCCAAGGATGGTTCTCCTCAATGAAACTAGGTAGTTTTAATCAGTAAGAGCCTGATCAGCGGTAATCCTTTGAGCATACATGCAGTCCTTGATCCAAACATCAGCTATGATCGTGTTATAAAAGAGCATGTTGAATCGCGCACCTGATAGAAGGTAGCATTCATCTCGAAGCTAGATCAATACCGTATCAGACTTGATTACAACGTATATCGATTATGCCTCCACATACCCATCTCGATCCTCAAATGGAGACGACATGATCTATAAAATTTAGATAAAGCTGTCATGAGCATATATTTAATTGAAGGAGCATATACCTTGGTCATCATGCCGCGCCAAGTGACGACTTGGGCGTCGATCTTCTTTCCTTCTGCCTCCTCATGAGCCATGATCGTCTTGAGGAGACTATCGAGATGTTCGTCCTTTGAGTCGTCATGGTTGATGAATTGATCATATCCCTGAGATAGATCGGCACCAAGTTTGGGAGGATAGTACCATTGTAGTGATCGATCGTCTAGGTGAAACTCATGTTTGTCGTCATACGAGAACCAAGCTATTTCCTAGGTATAAACGCATCAGATATGAGTCAAGAATGATGTTCAGTATAGCACCAAATGAGAAATCATCAAAGTATACAGTCATATCAATAAAATATATAATATATAAATACCTTAGGCCTTTTTACAACCTCACACTCGCCACCAAAACGGCCGATGGGTTGGATATCAAAAGTATTTGCCATAGAAAAGAATCTTGTGGTTTTGCGTTGGGCTTGGGTATTGATCAAACGGAAGATTGGAGTTGGGCTTTTCATAAAAGCGAAAGTTCCATCTTTGATGGTGAAGTAGTATCTATCGAGTAAGTAATAATACAGAAAGGACCAGAAGCTCAGGCAAGTTACCTACATGTAGGTAGGCGTACCCTTGCAGCCTTTTCACTTAGGTACCTACCTTATAGGTACACAGTGACAGTGTGACACTAGGTTACCCCACAGTAGCTATCTCTTCAGAAGGGATAACCTATTCAGAAGGGATAACCTAACCTTGTTTCGCCAATAAGCTCCATCCCTGCAATTTTCCGACGAGCATCAACTTAAAGATCCATGAATTTCATGGGTTTTTGTTTATTCAAGAACACCATCTAAATATTCAACGATATCACTATCGAATACCTGTCTTCGCCTCATTAATCGCGACAGAAGAAAGATAAACATTACCTTTCAATCATCAATCATGGCCGAACGTCCGCCCCCGCACGCCCGCCCGGCCATTAACAGAGCGCGCACGAACACGAGCGGCATCCGGCGCAACCTCTTCCAGAGCCAACTAACGCGACGCCCCACACCCACGACATCCTCCTCCAACACCTCGGCCGAGACTCTGCGACTCGGTGAAGTCGAAGTGCTGTCCGACACCTCTGAGATCGTTGTCCGCGATAAGAACGGCGAGTTTGAGGTTAGCGACCCGCCCACTCCACCTCCAGACGACCCCGAAGATGGCGCATTGGACGAAGCCCAGGAGACCGAGCGTACGTAGCACTCATTCTCAGCCACGATTCAGAATTGCAGTACTACATTTACGACATGGTTTACTAATTGATATCACTCTACAGGCGACAGGCAAAGATTAGCAGAGGCCGTCAAGCACCATCAAATCAACTACACCCGCGCGCCTGCGTACCCCGAAGGTGGGATGTCGTCAACACAATACAAGCCCCCGCTGACCCCAGATCAAGATGTCTTAGAGACGTTACGAGCCAGCATGAGAGCGAAAGTTGCCGCATTAGCAGAGGATAATTGGATGTATGAACCGGAGGAACAGCCTCAGATACAATGAATTTGGTCAAATACAGGTGTGGGCATTGGAACCCTAGACGAGTTGGCATGTTGCTACTACGTGATTGTAAAAAGTACCTAATCTAATCCTTCAGCAGCCGGCATCGACGGAGGAGCGTTAACAGCCGGTCTCTTTGCACCTCCACTTGCCGGAGCGCCTCCGCCACCGCCACCGAAGAAGCCGCTCATCATATCCATCAGAGGGTTGCTCTGTCGAGGTTTCTGGATTCTGAAGTACATCTCGGCGATCATCTCCAGAGGCTCATGCCATGCCTGAACTTCGGCTAGCAGGCTCGCGTACTTGTTGTGCAGTTGCTTGTACGTATCGGCGTTGGCTCTCTGGACGGCGAGCAGGAGGAGGCCCAGGAAGTTGAGGAGAGGTATACTGGGGTAGATTCGTATGTCAGCAGTAGTGCTGCTAACATCTTGGACACCAAGCTGGCCTTGTTTGTCTTGGTTTAGCGCGCTAGTAAACAACCGGTAGCATGCCGTAGCTGCTTGGACATTGCCTGTGAGAAGGTACGCGAGAATCGCGCGGCCGGCATACAAAGCGGCTGTATGTGCGTCATCCTCCTTAAACCACTCATATTCCATATGGGCCAAGACCTTCGCGGAATCCTTTGTACCTAGCAGTAAATGCTTCTCTGCTTCGTACGGCTCGTGCTCCTCGGCGTACAGGGAGCCTGCGACATGGTGGAGTTCGGGATCGCCCGCGGGGTATTCGCCGAATTTGGATGACCATCTAGGTAAACAGCAAGTTAGCAGATAGCTTTACGCGCGAAGTTACCAGAGCAATGACAACGTACGATATCATCTCCCCGATGTACGTCTTGCGAGTTGGTTCTTCGCTATCGAATAATCGCAGACACGTGAGTAATCTGCCCTTGGTGACCGAATCGGGCTTCAGCTCAGCCTGCTTGTAGGTGTCGACCAGCAGTATGCATAGATCTCCGCCGCTACCGCCTTGGCCTGCCTTTAGAAGCGACTGTGCGACATTGTAGAGGATGTTGATAGCTGCGTCCCAGTTGGACGCCTTGGTGTACCGTGCTGCTACCACCCGGGTCTGTTGTTGGGCTTCGTAGAATTGCCCCTCGCCGATTCGCGCCTGCAGGCGGGCGATGATCTTTTCGATCTTGTCGCCTTTAGCACTCATCTTGTAGGTGTATATCGAGGTATAACTACCGATACATCGAACGCGACAATTATGTGTTAAAGAGGTTAAAAATAACGATGTTTGGTGCAATAGAAATATAGCGAAGAGGAGCTGGGAACTTTTCTTTAGGTACCAAAATTGAAGACGACAGGGCGGACTGACGTCTGGTATTTGTGGGCCAAACTGTTAAATCTTACCCCACCAAGAGGCGTACCTAGTGGCACCTACCTTTAAGCCACACCTACATAGTGTAGCCATCTACGGATTACAATTCTAGGGCTACAGCAAAACGGATTGTTACGCCTAGGTATATAGGGAGAGGCTAGGACTAGGTACTATTTTGCAAGCAATTGAATGGATGTACGATACTAACGTTTATTATAGGTCAAGTTATTAACATAACAACATACCTAACATAAAGAAGCAAAAAGGGGAACATGGGCCAAAAAATGAAGACATAGAGTGATCTCTAATGGGTTTGTTGTGCACTAATGCACTAACCGTGAATCGAACACGGGGCCAAAGTAGAATCCTAGATGGGAAACTTCGAGGTTACCACTACCCCATTAGTGCTTAACATTCTGAGCTCCGGACATTATCTATATAGCTTTCCGACTCTCAGGCTGATTCTACGTCTCATTGGCGTCCCCCTTACGTAAACGCTGCAATTTGTGTTCCATCATAAAGAAAACTAAGAAAGAGAAGTAAAAGATCAAAACCGACTGGGCAATTTTACCTACCTCTCTTAATTTTGACCTGGGATTCATCTCGAGTGTTTGGTTTGAGTGGAATAGGGTGGTTGCATATACGCCGTATACCTACGTGCCAAGCCCACGCAAACCCATGGATGAATGTAACTCATTATGACTCAATTGTTTTCACCTCTTATTAGAGCTTCATCTATATATTCTTTCTTGTCTTCCAAGTTTTAACTCTCGCTCTTGAGGCTCTTTAGTTTTAATAATTACATTCAATCGCATATATTTATTGCCAGTTAGTTCATCAAAATGTTCACAACTCGTCTTGCGATGACGGTTCGTAACAGCGCTGGCGCTGCAACTCGAGGAAGGATCACCTCCCCATACAAATCCACGATCAATTCAAATATACCAAATCCACCTACACCCATTACAACCTCGAAATTCTCAACATCTATTCCTAAACTATCAACCAAAAAATCTACCCAAGGCTCTTCCAAATCTCCCGAGGAACCCCCACCCATGGAGTTCAGCTTTAAGGGACTCGACATGAGCCGAAACACAAGGATCGTAGTCCTCGTGATCCTAAGTATATTCGGCACGATAGAGTCTATCTTCTGGGTCAAGACCATTTGGCGTTGGTTCTCGGGTCCCAAGGATGACGAATCGGAAAGCAGTCATTGAGCTTTGGTCTACTTCTCTCAATTGGCTTTACCAAGTCAATTAAATGGAGCCAATTCCATTATTTCTCATATCTATGTGAAGCTGAATGCATTATACCGATGTCTCGGGAGACAATTCACCACTCAATTTCAAATGAGCCGAACTCACAACACCGCACTACTCCACGGACAAAAGACCTAGGTCGGGGCTTTTGAAGTGTCGATGTCTCGGCGCGCATATAATCGCATTGGCCAGTGCGTTATCAGTTACTACCGATTCCATAATATGGACTTGTTCGGTTCTTCGGAAGGGTTGCTAGCCTGGGCGGTTACTTCGAAAGGTATTTCACCTTGGTGCTAGCAGCTATTGGTATATTCTCTTAAGCAGTTGAGCAAAGTCGACGTATTTACCTCACCGACTCTATCATATCTTCGGGAATTAGTAGAGGCTTCGTTTGAGTCGACTTAGCTATCATGATTAGCGATTTTACTATTGTCCGAATTATCCGAGTCCTTACCTTAGGTATTTTTTAGAGTTAGGTATTAAGCGCGTTGGTGAGAGATTGGGTTGGTTGAGTCTTTCAAGTTTTTGTAGGATAACTATTTCCTAACCCCATGTAACATAATACAGCAATAAAGTCGGCATTATAACAAAAAAAGCAAGTTATTTCGATCATGACAACAAAGGCAGGTCATATTTAGGTATCCCCCCTGGGGCGATCATTTCCGCTTCTCCAGGGGGTATACGTGTGCACCGCCACTTGTTCCTTGAGAGTCTCGATCTTCTATACCCTTGTCAGTCTAAATTCGGGGTTCACTCCGATCTCAATTGGTCCGTGGCTAGCATCATCCCTGCTTCTTCTGCCTTGTTTTCGGATGTCCTACTTCAAGGTTTTAGCCACATGAGGTCAAGCCACCCAGGTCCCTTAAAACGAAGTATAATTAAACAAGTCCTCCTCCCAAGCGCTGGCGCTGCATGAAGGCAACCTGAATAAGTAATTTTGTTTTTATTTTTCTCAAGTGTGTGGCTTTCTTAGACGTCTCTCGCTATCTGTCGTTTCGTACTCTCGTTACCTCATTAAATGTTCGTGCTGCTTTCCGACGTGATACTCTTTATGTGTTGGATGGAGAGTTATACTTGAACATGGCAGCCGAAGTTGAAGAGGCTGTTCCCGCAGGCGGTGCTGATGAAATCAAGGCCTACAACATACACGTGAGTTGCTTCCTAATCCTAATTAAGTCCGGGTATAGACGTGGCTAATAATCTGGTTTTCTTGGGCAGGTCTCGTCGAAATATTTAGATCTCACAAGACAGAAACTCGAGGTCACCAGGTTACCGCATGAGCTCTCGGAGCCGAAATCAAAAGACTGGTGGGAACCAAAGTCTCAAGTAGAGCCACTCATCGATTTCTGGTAAGTCTTTATTAGTCCCTTACTATGTAGCCCCTAAATTGGCTTCAACAACATTTATCTGCCTCTTTGATAAGTATTTATACTATTTATATTAGAATAAATACTAAACGTCTAGCAGGCTTGAGCAATATTCATGGCGGACGCAAGAGGACCTGTTAAATAAAGAGCTGCCTCAATTTCGCACCGGATTTTCAATACCGTCCTCTGAGACACCTATCAGAATTCACTTCATTCACGCTCGTTCATCTCATTCAAATGCGATACCCTTACTTTTGATACCACCTTTTCCTTTCTCAAATCTCTCTTTTGGACACCTCGTCAAGCTCTTCACAGAACCGGAAGATGCCGCAAATAATCAGCCCTTTCACCTAGTTATACCCTCTCTACCAGGCGTGGCATTTAGCGATGCGCTTCCAAACAACACCCCTATGATCTCATCCACAGCCGATATCCTAAACTCACTAATGAGCCGCCTCTCATATCCATATTATCTGGCAACAAATGCAAGCTCCGGGGCTGCTTCACCTGCAGAAATCGACTACAATCTTGTCAATCATTTAGCAACTTACCATTCAGATTCTTGCCTGGGTGCTCACTTGATATCACCCCCGCTAACAAAGCCAAAACTTCGAGAAGCTCCAATTGAGTGGGCAAAATGGTCACTTGCGAGTTTTTTTCACGCCCCTATTCTGGGATACCGCAGTGAAGACTTCTCTGCCCTCGAACGAAATGGCTATGTTCATGCGTCGAAGAAAGCTCCCACACCAGCGCAGTTCGGATTGAACCAACTGGGTTTTCGAGAGCCCAATACTCTCGCATATGCACTATGCGACTCACCGACGGGGTTGTTGCTCTTCGTGTTGAAGACTCTCCGCCTGTTAGGTCCTCAAAAGGAATTCACGCTAACAGAGGTGATTAATTTCACCCAACTTGCTTGGTTACCCGGTCCGGAAGCAGCCATGCGATTCTGGGCATATTGCGTACGGCATCCGGAGGTGGAAAAGAAGGCTACCGTAAGGCCAAAAGTCGGAATTACGGTATTTTTGGGCGACGAACCGAGTGCGGAAGGGGGCGCGGAGACAGGAGCGGCGGTAGATGAACCGGCACATGATGAGTCGAAGGACTGTTATACTTGCCCCAGTTGGGCGAATGCGAAGTATAACGTATTGTATACGAACCGGGCAACGGGGCGGTCGGGGCTTTTGGCTTGGGAACGACCTGAAATCATTGCTACAGGCATAAGAGGCGTTGCTTCCTCGATTTTGAAGCTGGATTCTCGGCTCCGACCATCACCAGCATCACCACCAGCTCCATTGGAACAAGTGGTGGTCCACAGTGATACGGCAGCAGATGACCACCCCGAATCTCCACCGGCATCTCCGCCAGTAAAACCAGCTCCTGCGCTTTTAGCACCTCCAACTGCAGAGGAGCGTGGCCACCCCCAACGACAGATCAGTGGGGAGACCGCAGTTGGCAGCAGCGAGAACGTCACAGGGGGGGCGTCTTCTCCGACACCGAAGGCGCCCGATCCAGCACATCTCGCACCGCCGACGGATGAACGAACACTTCCACGCCGAGAGGCGAGCGATGACACGGCCGTAGAGCAGCCGGGTACCGAACCACAAACGCTCTAGAACACGATTTGATGTTTTATCTCTTAATGTCGGGTTACATGATATCTGCTACATATCTCGGAAAACGGATGAATACAGCGGGGTTTTACGATTCATATATACCTTTCTGCTTCGGCTTGTTTATGTTGACGATACATTGTCGATGATGAATGTTTTAAAGTCAACCTTTTAAATGTGGGTTGAATTGGTGTTCATAGTGGAGGAAAAGTATATTGACGTTACGATACCACTGAATTAACTTTCGATTGAAGGCAAGGTGAAGCTGCGTTGAGCTGCCAGCCTGAGTGTCAGTTGAGTTAGAGAGATGATCCGTAGAATCGAATGAGGCCCCCCAAGGCTTAATGTCTTTTACATGGACGTCCTTTGTGGCAATGGATGCTGTGAGGGAAAACGTATAAATGCATAAGCCTTAGAAAATCAACATATGGATGATATATGGATAATTTTCTGTTCATCACGCAAATATGAGCTGTAGATGGTACCACCAGATTCAGAGCATTAGAAATGAAATGATTAATATTGGTCATATTGGTCACAAGGTCACATGATCATCTTTCGTTACAGACGGGAGTTTAAGATGAGCTATTGATAGCAGGTACCAAGGTACACGTAGATAAGCCAGAGATAAGCGACAAGTTAAAGTGGAATGTACCGATGTACCTAGGTACGTAGCATGTTTGAAGTTAACAGAATGCAACCTGCAACACCGGAAACCGCAGCCGCGCTGATCCTAGGCGAGAGTCTAGAATTGGAAGAAGTTTAGTGAAGTTAGTTGAACTTTTAGTAAACTGCAACAGCATCTAGCAACTAGCATCCACTTCATTTGATTATTATTCTTGACTACTTCGTACTACTACTAAATCCCATTACAGTACATTTACATCCCCGTAACCAATTCCCGGCGCATCTACACCCATATACACAAAAAACAATCGCTCTCCCTCGGTTTACTCACCTCGCTCAATGTAGGCATAGCATGACTTCGCGATGGGTGCCAGCGACTCCAAGCTAGTCTTCAAAAAGGGCATCTTTAGATTGTCAGAAGAGAGACACATACCCGCCGATGATTCTTATTGGACTTCTGTCCGTATTGCCCTCTCTAGTTTATCTGGTTTCTTCATTAAGCTAATCGTCTATAGTTCTGGGAGCTTCCCGAATCCTCTGAA